GAAGGAAGGAAGGAAGGAAGGAAGGAAGGAAGGAAGGAAGGAAGGAAGGAAGGAAGGAAGGAAGGAAGGAAGGAAGGAAGGAAGGAAGGAAGGAATCCTTCTTTTCAAGGTAAAGAAACAATAAATAACACCAAAATAATAAAATCTGTTTTCCTGTCTCTTCCATGCTGGGTGTCAGATCCCCTCAGCTCCCCTTGGGAACAGCTCCACTTTCACTGCTTTTTGGAAAAAAACACTTCACAGAGACATTACAGGCATTCCATGCTGATAACACTGACCTTGCCTGTGCCTGCAGGAAAATCAAACAGCACCACTGCATAAGGGAGGATTTCTGAGCTCCCTTCTCCCTCCTCAGAGCCCTGAAGGATTTTTCAGCATCTGCTGTAAAGACCCGTCTTCTTATCTCTGAAATTTGTAATCATCCCAGAGATTTCACGAGTCTTTGCTTGGGAATGAAATAAGAAATAGGGCTCCCAGCCTGAATGATTACTTGAGCACATTTTCCTATTAGGTCTTGTTCAAAAGAGAAAAATCCTCCTGTCTTCTCCCTCACACACCCAGTTTCTTTTTGGAAAAAGAATGTCTAAATCACTCTAAGTGACTCTAGTTTAGCCTCCGCAAACTATTCACAGCAGCTCTCAGGCAATCAAAGTGAGACACAAATATAAAAGATGTCTCCATGGTCTATTTTAATAGGAAGAGCAGGACACACTGCACTGGCTTCACCACGAATTATTTTCAGCAGGAAGCACACACAAGGAAACAGCTGCAGCAGCTTTTACACCTCCAGCAGGTGACCTGCAGTGCCCAAGGTCGTCTCGAGAGCATTGCATGGGCAAATTCTACCACCTCTGCCAAAAAAATTGGTGTAGACTGAAGGAGGGATCTGTGCCAGGCTGCAGCTCAGCCCACTCAGAGCTGGCTGCAAGGGCAGGGCTGCAGCTTCCCATGCCAGGAGGGAGCATCCTGACAGCTACAAATATCATTCCTCTAAGTGCCTGCACAGATGGGTGCAGTAATTTGTCAAGGGCAACCAGGAAGATGGTGCAGATTTTATTCTCTGAACAAAAGTGCTTCGACTTTTTTGTTTGGCACAGCAGAAATGTTCCCAGGCCTCTGGCAGCAAGATTTGGAGGGTGGGTTAGCAGGCCTGGGTGTTTCAGGAAAAAAATAATAATTGTAATGTTTGTAGAGAAGGGATGCACAGAGGTGGGAGTGAATGGGAGAGAAGGAAGTTTGCATGTTCCTGGGCAGAAATAGGGATTTTTTTTTTCACAGAAAGGGTGGTTAAGCACTGGAAGGAGCTGCCCAGGGAGGTGTTCAAGGAATGACTGGACGTGGCACTCAGTGCTCAGGTGTAGTTAGCAAGGTAGTGTTTAATCAAAGGAAAGATTTAATCAAACTCAATGATCTTGGAGGTCTTTTCCAAACTCAACAATTCTCTGATTCTGTGATTAAAATAACCATTTCTAAAGTCTTTAATGGAGCTGGATGGAGTTAATTGGGAGTGATGGAGCTGGAGTTAATTGGGATTTTGCTGGAGTGGGGAGCAGCCCTGTAAAAGCAGAGAATTTCAGTCTGTGAAGTGGAGGAGGGTAGGTGCTAGAGCACTCCTCCTTGAGTTGCTGCCACTAAGTGGTTCCAGTAGCTGAGCTGCTCAGATAGTTTGATTCCATGGCACGTCACGATTTTCCTAAAGCGAGGAACAGAGAACCTGATCCTCTCTGGGAAAAACGTCTGCTCCGAGTGGAGCTCCTCCAGCTGGATTTTTAATTTGTCGAGGCACAGCCCTATGAACACGTCCTCCAGTTTAATGAATGGAACACTCCCAGAAATTTTATAGATCTGGCTGGCTACGTCGCTGGATAAAACATATCCAGTCCCGGAACAAAAGGGTGGGTAGGTGGTTCCTGGATACTCTTCCCTACTCACATACCACTTACTCCCTCTTGTCCTGATGGGGTACTCGTGCAGTTTTAAAAAGCCTGTGAAGAATCCAGTGCTCTTCTTTTTCCTCAGGAGCAGCTCAGTGAGGTAAAAAACGTTGACAAACACGTCCGTGTCGGTTTTCATCACGAAGCTGGACTGGGGGCAAAACCTGTGGATCCACTCCATTCCCATCATGGTCTTCAGGGTCAGGTTGTAATAGGTGTCTGTGAAGTTCTTCTGGATGATGTCTCTGTAGCTCTGGCTCTCAGCAGCCATGTCAGCCTGCTGGCTGGCATTCCCAGGGCTGCCCAGGAGGAACAAGGTCACCAGGCGCTTCCCAGCCACTGTCCTTTCCTTGCCCCAGGTGTGCCGGATGACCATCCTGGCATCCAGCTGCTGGAATGAGCACGCCACCAGCAGGACAAGGAAAGGAGGGTTCTTGTGGCAGTCAACATCTGGGAGCTGGGAGAAGTTCCCTTCCATCCTCCTGAAAGTCTCCGTGGGGAATAGGTCACCCTGGCTGCTCTCACAGAACATGCAGAATTCGGTCCAGGCGTGGAAAACCCAGAGGCTGGCACTGCTGAGCCCCACCAGGCAGACAAACAGCCTGAACTTTCTGCAATCCACCTGAAAGGAACAAGAAGGAGCAGCACATCCATAAAAATAATCTCTGGTTCTTCCTCTCAGCACTCCAGTGCCAGCTCCCTGCTCAGGGATTTGAAGCCAGGTCAGCTCTAATAGAAAGCTGCCTCTTTGAGGGCACTCAGCCACGTGCATTTCTCCTCCTGTCATCCCCACGAGATGTTCTGCTGGCAGATTCACACTTGGGCTTAACTTGAATCTGCCCTCCAAGCCAGTGTGTCCTCAGAAATCCACACAACCGTGCCCACTGACACCAGCTCACCCAGCTTTGATGCTTCAAACCTCCTCCCCATTTTCAGCATCCTAAAAACCAAGTTGAGACCCACCAGGGCCAGAGAAGGAGCAGATTTATGTATCCATTTCAGAGGGCTGAGAATAACAATGATAGTCTTTTTGTTTCTTTGGTTTGTTTTGTGTTTTTTTTTTTTTTAAATACCATGTTTCTCCATTTGTGCTCGTGTCCCAGAGCCAGCAGGTGTCCCAGGGACACACCCAGCCAGGTTCCTCTCATCTTCATCATTTTTGTGTCCTGTGGGGCTCTTGCACCAACCCAGGAACTGCTCCTGATCCTTTTGCTGGAGGGGACATGAGTCACATTTTTGAAGTTGGGTTAGCTGCTCTGAAAAAAAAGAAAATAACCAAAACAGCAGTGGGTCACATTATTTGGATGTTTTACCTTGTGCAGAGTTTGAGTGACTCACCAGGACACGCTGGGGTGAGAAGGGGCTTCTCCTATTCCCCTCCCCTTTTTAGGTGAGAAAGATCCAAACAACAACAATGCTACAATGCTCACTCATTTAACCTCCTAAGAGATTAATGAGCTGGACATGTGGTTATAAATCTAACAGAAATTCTGAGTGAGAGAAAAACTATCAAAGCAAACCCCAAATCCTTACAGTGCCAGAAGTATTAACATCTTCATAAATTAACCTGGTGAGAGGAGTTTAAGGCTTGAGTTGCTCATTCCATAAGCCACAGGCTCTCCTACTGCTATTTTAGAGCACTAGGATGGGGCAATTTTTACCAGGGGAAGGGCAACCCTTCCACCTTCCCCTTTTTTAACAAAGAATTGTATCTGGCTCCCCAGCTACAGCACAGCAAACCAAGTTAACCATGCCCAGAGCTGCAGATTTCAGGGAAATTTGATCTCTGCCTTCTGACCAGGAATATTCTGTGCAGACTCCCCCAAATCACTTTAGTGCCTTCCTTTTGCTCAATTTCCTCTTTCCAGGCAACCAGAGGTTTTGCATTGCAGGATTTAAGCTCATTTGAAAGTCCAGCCAGGTGTCCCTTGAACCAAATTCAGCTCATTTTACCCCCAAGAATAGTCCCATTGGCTTCAGTGGGAATTCTCAAAAACATGAAATGAGTAGAACTGGAGTCTTGGTTTACTGGAATTGCTCCCATGGTGAAATGCATTTTTGCAATGATTCACTAATGAATTTTGAAAATATTTCAGAAGTTCACATTTCTTCTGGCACTTATATTTAAATTCGCTTTATCCTTAAATAAAGTATTCTTCAGATCTGTTTTTTTTTTTTCTTGTATTTATAGCTCACAGTAGTCTTGTAATTAACTTTACAACTGCTTTAGTTAAATACGTATGTAAAATTGTGTAAGATTATACCTATGCAGTTATATTATATGTATACACAAAAGATTAAACAAAAGTTTGCTCTGCACCTTCTCACATTCTTCAATGGCCTGGGAGGAAGAACGTGAATAACCTGAATTGTGTTTTCAGGACAGGAAGGTGTTTTGAGCTTGACAATGGAGATGTACAGAGGTTTTTCCTGTTGCCAGCTCACAAAGACTGTTTGAAAGTCTGATATTTCTCTGTTACAGAAATTCCAGAACATGTACAAACCAGACACTGAACTAAGAAAACAATGGAGATTAATATGCTGTTAAAACTTTTCCACAAATATCCAAGTGCAAGGTGCCATAACACACAACAACCGTTTTACAAGATTTCTGTAGAATCAGACCAATGTAACGTGGCCATTATTTACTTTTGTTTCCAAAAATGGTAACAGATCTAAAAAAATCTTTTTAAATGTCCTTGTTTTGGACAGCTGGGTGAGCAGCCTCCCACCTTTACCATTTTTTCTTTCCAAAGCCAGATTCCTTCCCCTTTCAGCCCACGTGTGAAGGAGTGGAGCTTGTACACAGACATAAACACGCACAGCTGGGAAATGCAAATGATTTGCAAATGCATGCAAATTGTAAACAGCATTTTAGAAGTTCTGCAATTGGCACACGTGGCCACGTATCCTCTCCCTGTGTAAGGACCAAGGGGTGGGCAGTGGCCTTGATAAGAGGAACCACGGAATGGTTTGGGTTGAAAAGGACCTTAAAGCCTACCCAGTGCCACCCCTGCCATGGCAGGGACACCTTCCACTCTGCCAAGCCCAGTGTCCAACCTGAGAGAACTCCAAGGGAAAGGGGGGACAGACACACAGGCTGCTTCCTCTTGCCAAGGCCATTTTTCTTCAAAAAAGCATCCATTCAATCCTTGTTTTCAGATGAACAGGGAGCATTCTGAACATTGAAACCACTTTACACTAATGCAGGCAGTTCCTTGGAGCACTGAAGTTTCTGTATCAGGGAATTAAATCATCCTGGTATTGTCTCCTTACTCCTGAGATGCTGAGCCCCCCTCCCATCCCCATTGTGCATCAAAACAAATATTTCTCCTTTTATATACAGTCCTTTTGCATGATTAAATATTTTATTTTTCTCTGTGATCTCAGCCAGAAATCATAGTTTTTAATTATCTCAACACTATTCCCATCTCTTGTTGTTCTGACTGCAAAATATTTGATGAAGGGCATTGCTGAAAAATTGCCTGTTTCATATCCTAGAGACTTTTCTTAAACTGACTGGCATTTCATGGGTCTCTGCAGCTGTGGCTTGCATGGAACCCTGGCACCAAACCATGTGGGAGTTGCAGCCTCTTCTCACACTCACCTGAAATGAACACATTAAAAAAAAGACTCTGCTCTCTCCCAGCAGCTTAAAGGGAGCTGAAATGTTTTATTCTCTTTGTTATTTACCAAATCCCTCCTTTTTCTTGAGACTGTCTCGTTTAGGCAAGTCACAATCCTTCATTTTTTCAGCACAAAGTATTACAACAACTCTGACATTGAACACAAACAAGTAAACACTCTGCAGTGGTTACAAATGACTGCCACAAATGCATTTTGTAGCAGTCCCCAGTTTGGTAGCCATGAGTTAAACCAACCTCATCAAAGAGTTTTCTTCTTTCTACCACTCTTCTATTGCTCTTTCTGTCAATTTTTGTCTGCTGGGCTTCAAACTCATCCCTGATGTAAGTGCAACATTCTTATCCTATAATTATCTTTAAGGCCATGTGGTTCTGTGGAGCCTCATTCCTACCAACATGCCTTGAGAACTTATCCAGCAATTAGTTACATTTAATATTTTAGCTACTTGATATTTTCATACACATTTACATGACTAATCCCTCAGTGAAACTCTAAAGGTGTTTTTGGCAAAGATTTTGGTGAACTATTGAGATACATCTTACAGACAATGAGCAATATTTCAGTTGCAAGGTTATTCATTCTTTTTCTTCCATTTTATTCTACCTGGGGATAATAATTTAAATTTAATAGGGTAGTTCATTCTTTCTGCCTTTCCACTGGCTTGTGGCCATCATGGAGTGTGTAAATCCCTCTGGATTCCCAAGGCCTTGCACATTTATCCCACTATTCCTCTGGATTCCCATACCCTCTGTCTGATGACATTCCTAGAGGAGTTCCAAAGTATGGAAATAATTGATTCAGAAATATTTTCACTGCTTCTTTTGCCATGTTGGTGCAACAGGGAAATGCTTCAGGCCACGCAGAACAGGGATCCACTAAAATAAATTTACAGCTGTCTTTGCATGGAAGTTCTGTAAAGTCAATTTGCCAATAATCTCCAGGAGAGTTTCTACATTTGACAGCCTCTATCACTACTTTATTCTCTCAGAAATTATCACTTGTCCAGCAGAGCTGACTGCCCACCCACTAGGGTGAAATTTAGAATATAATGCTCTGATTAATTGACAAATTTTTGTGCTATATTCTGGTTTAATATCTGGTTGTGCAGCTCCATGGCTGGGGCTGCTCACAAACAGCTGGGTCAACCCTGGCATAAGGGAATAATTCAAAAGATTTCACAGGATCAAGGAAGCCCAAAGCTGGAGACCTCATTAGGGCTTTTTAAGTTTGAAAGCACCTGAGTATCATCATCATATAAAAAAGTATTTCTGTGTTTAAAAGTATTTATGTATTTAAAAGTATTCATGGCTAGAAACTATATATGGCTATTACTATATAATATATTTAGAATTCCATACAAAGGGTGGACCAATAATCCAAAATTCCTTTAAATCTCTTACAGCGAGCCATTCCAAATTTATTTATTTATTTGTTTACTT